CCTTCATACTGATAATCCCTATGCCTAAAAAGTTCTTCCTTATAGCCTCCAAATGCCCTCTGCTTTGGCCTCACCACCTACCCAGCTTCTATTTATCCTTCAGGCTCTGTTTAAAACTTTTCCTCAAAGAAACCTTCTCCAATGACCATGACTAGCCTCTCCCTTCCTCTCCATCCAAATCACACACACTTGAAACCTACTTCTAATCACTTACTCAATTAATGTCGGTCTCCCCTCACCAGACTGTAAGTTCAAGGAAGGCAGGAGTAGCGTCTGTCTTGTTTAACACTGCCTGCCCTGTGTCTAGCACAGTGCCCAGCACACAGTAGGTGGTGAATGAAACTAACAGCCTCCAAGGAATCAAAGGATCAACTGATAAACTGATTTCCTAACTTCATTACTTGAATTTGGACACAAGACATCCCATATCAAGCTGTGGACAAGACAGACATAAATAGGTTATGTACTCCCTTTGGAGAAGAATTCAGAGCGAACAAAAACTTGGACTGGGATTATATGTATTTTTAAATTACTATGTGCAAAACAATAAAAAAAGTGTTACTTTTAGAAACAAGTTTCAGAAGAAGAAGTAGTGATGTCTTCATCAGAGCTTGTCATTAACCCTTACACTATGCTCTCTGGGGGAGACTAACTTGCATAGGAGGGTGAAAGAAACAAGAATGCATTTGTCCCTCCTAGGCTATTACTGTTCCTTTCCAAAGTAAATTTATCTCCTAATGAAAGGGAATATGCTAGGGGGAAGAGTATAGCTCAGTGGTAGAGTGCATGCTTAGCATGCACAAGGTCCTGGGTTCAATCCCTAGTACCTCTGTTAAAAATAATAATAATAAAATAAATTCTAATATTTTTAAAAATAAAATAAAATAAAGAAGCAGAATGTGCTGAACCATAATTCTAAGTATATCCAGTGGTATGATGGGCTTCTACGTACAGTGTTCCCACTAGGAGGCGGCTCATGGGCCAAGGGAACAATCAGCATGATGTAAGGGCAGTCATCTCTGGCAATGGCTCCAGTACCCCTTCTCTTTAGGGCTTCCATCCTGGCACCACTCACAGAATTAAACTCTCCTACCTGGGGCAGAAAAAAGTAGACTCTTTTCCAATAGAACAGATGGTACAGGCATCACATGACAAGGACTCCAAAGGATCCTTCTAGAGAAATTTTGCTTTATTGAAGGATACATTAAAAAGTCAGTGGGGGGAAAAGGTATTTCAAGACTGAGAAGTAGGTACAGTACCAAGAGACTGAACTTTATACATAAGGGAGGAGGAGAAGAGGAAAAAAAGTAGAGGCAAACAAACGACGACAGAGAGGGAGAGAGATGTAGAAAAAGAAGGAAGAATGTTGAGGATGGAGAAAAAAAGTTACAAAGCCTGTGTAACAGAAAGGGGTGAAAGAGCAAGACCAACGGCCAAATTTCACTCGAGGGCACAAGGTCATACATCCCAGAACTCAGAGGTATCTCAAAAGCAAACTGATCAAGCACCCTCCCTTTAGGTCAGTAGAGTGTTAGCCTCTGACATTCACCGAAGTCCAGCCATGAGTTACCCACATCTAATACAACCTCTTGACATCAAATGAAGGTCCTCAAAGCAAAGGCCAGGTCTTCTAACACACCTTTCCTCACTCAGTTTCTACTAAGGATCACAAGGAAAAGAAACAGAACTCACTTCTAACCACACTGTGCAGAGGGAAGAGATTCTGGGTACACCCAACAGGTGCACTTTCAGCTGTGCAGTGTAACTTCATCAAAGCCAACTGATCCTCCCAGATACAAACGTCCTTAAAACACCCCAGAGACCCACACTACAATCTAGGGTCTCTAGAGTGGGAAAATATATCTCCGCCATTCTAAGAGATACTGGGAATATTTCAAGTACATTGCTATTAAAATTATAAGTGTCTACCACATTTCCCATAATAAAAAGTTTCATTCCAAAAAAGTGCCTAGCACAGTTTCCAGCACACAGAAGGCTTTTATTTATATACTCATTTATGAAAATGCTCGTTCTGAATCATATTCACAGCTGAATAGTTATGACCTTCTCAAGATATGAAAAAAATACTTCCACAAATTGGAAAGGGGGCGGGGTACTATTTAAAGCCATTCTGCCCAGCAGGGCAAGAAAAGAGTGGCGAATACTTGCGTGCATTTTACAGTAATTTCTGAGTCTGTAAAACAAAAAGAGACGCTCAGTGAGAAAACCAAAAACCTTATGAAATACTAAATACTTTAGAGCTTTGAAACTGCTGAGACGGAACTCTGATAACCTTGGTCTGCACACAGATGACTCTGCGGGTGACAAAGGGAAAGTGTTTGCACCAGAGCATTTGTCTGAAAATGGACCTCTCACCTCAGGAATTCCAGGTCATTGCTGGCATTCATTTGAAACCTTCCGAGACGCACTCTTTTGCCAGAATTCGAGAGATTCCCAAAGGTCCCCACTGCAGGAACCAGCGCCTCCCTCCCGCTGACACCGAGGGCATCGTACCTTTCAAGTCACCCTAAACCTCAGGATTGCATAGCATCCCTCGAGGTGAAAGGGCAGCTACCGCCCCCACGCAGCACCACCAGGGGGCTGCGTCTGTACAGCACGGGAGACACAGAACTGCAGTGGGGAAATATTTCAGGTCCGCGCAGGCCTCTCTGGTCTCAGGAGGGACACTGACTCCGACCCCCAGGAGGCGCGTCCCGACGCCACCCTCCCGCCGCTCAGACAAAGGACTGGAACGCTGGTGCGCCCCTCACTCACCGCTCAGATAGTTGGTCCACTTGTACAGCACCCCCTCCATGGCGCCTGCGGTACCCTTGCCCCCGCCGCGCCGGGGCCGCTTCCCCTCGCCCGCCGGCCTCCTCACTGCCCCAGGCCCCAGGAGGCGAGGAGCACCGGCAGCAGGGCCATCGCCCAGCGCTACCGAGCCGGCCACTCCGGGCGCCCGGGCCGGGTGCGGGGACGCGCCGCGGGCCTCACATCCTCGGCCCGGGGGCGGGGTCACTGCGGCGGCCTCCGCACGTGAGGACGCAGCCGGCCGGTGGCCTGGCTCGGCGGGGCCAGCACGCTGTCCTCAAGGAGGCCAAGGCACTGGGTGGGTCCGCGGGGCTGCTGAAGCCACTAAAGTGCCGCGAGTGAGGCAGCTGGTCGCCGGCGGCGCCACCACGCGTTACCTGAGTCCTGGAACCACCGGGCCCGGGACCGCATCGCGCATGCCCAGTGCACCGCTTGTGCTCACGTTCCCAAAATCCACTCCGGGGTTTAGCGGCGACCGCGGCGGCGGCGGCGGCAGCGGCGGCGGCGGGACTGACGTAGCGGGAGAGGCCTGCTGAGAAAATGAGCCCCGGGAGGCAGGCTTGGGTCTAGGCAAAGGGTGGGAAGGGAGGAGGGAGGCCTCGGGCACAACAGTGGAATACAATCCTGACTTAATGGAGCCGTAAATGGGTAATCTCCTCCCGATATTTGGGATTTACCTTAGCGCCTTAGGGTGCCCCCTGGATTCTAGTCTTCAGGGTCTAATTCTTATTTCAAGGCTAATTGATCCCACATACTTCAAGGCTATTGAGATACCAGCAATAGGGCGTACGGGGATGATGGGAATTTCGCGATAGAATACAGTGTGGGGCCCTCTTAAACAGACGTCTAAACTCAAAGGCCTCGGTGCAGGAAAGTGTATTGTATTGACATCACCTGGGAGCTTGTCGGAATTGCAAAATCTCGCCCCAAGCCCAGAAACTCCAGAATCGAAATCTGCATTTTAACAAGATCCCCCAAGGGATTCTATGCATATTAAAGTGTGAGAAAGTACTGTGCGAAGGATATTTGACTAGGGAAGACGTTAACTATAGATTAAGTGGTAAAAGCAGGTTACGAAACACAGTATACAATAGGATCCTGATTATTTGTGCATGTCACAAAAGCGTGCACCAAAATGTTAAGATGATTATGTGTGAATGGTGGCGTTACAGGCGATCTTTTTTTTCTTTGGTGTAAGGTTGCCAGATATAGCAAATAAAAATACAAGAACAATTAATTCGTTGTTTATCCGAAATTCAGATTTAATTCGTCTCTTGTATTTTAACTGGAAACTCTACTGCTTTCCAGGTTCTTCCAAATCAACGATGAACATGTATTGCTTTTGAAATTAGGCGAAAAATGTAAACCTAAAAATCTTAAACTAAGATGAGCCTGTGTAACTCATAACTATGATTACTATTTCTTCTTTAAAACGGAGTTCTGCAAGTCGTTATCCTTGATAGAGGCTATTATTGACCCCCGAAAATATGGTCATCTAAGCGATAAATTACTACCAGCCATAATATTATGCGGTGTTGTAGAATGCATTAGAAAACCTGTTTTGACGGCAGAGATCAAATGCTTTGGGGGCCGGAACAACCTTAAATAGGACACTTAACGTCTCCTAGCCTAAATATACTTATCTTTTAAATGGGATAAAAGAACCTGCCTTACAGGCAGTGTAGTGAGGTTCACACATTGGAAAGCACTTTGTGAAACCTAAAGAGCTGTTAAAGTCTTTACCGTTCATACCGTAAGCTAACTGCTAATAGCAATTACTATTGTGAGGGCCTCTCACCCACGGTGAGAATAAACGAGTCTTTCTTGAAACCTCTGCTGTTTCACCTAGCCCCACGACCTCTCACCCAGGCAGGATTCTTTACAGCTGCGAACCTGTCGGAGAAGTTTCCGGTTAGCTCCGCGCCCCACCTTCTCCCATAGTCCGAGACTGTGGAATTCTGTGAACTGCCGGGCTCCAGAACCACTCCAGGTGGTTTGCCTCTGGGGTAACGCCCCTCTGGGCCGGAGATAAAGTAACATTGTTGTAGCGTCATTGGCTGAGGAGGCGCCTGAGAGACAGCACCACAAGCCAATAGGAACCCGGCCTTTTCAGGCGGCCTAGCTGTAAGAGCCACTCAGGCCCGGGTTTGGGTTTAACTCTTTAGAGGTGAGTTCATAGTGCGTGGGACAGTTGTTGGTAGTGACTGTGCCACGTCTGCTAGGAGGTTGGGAGTCATGAAGTTGCCAGAGGCTGTTGTCCTTAAGTCTTCAACTACATTCTTAACTCTATGAGGTCCGGAGCTCTTTCTCTGTTTTTGTAGGAACTTCATCCCTGCTCTGGCAACATGAGGTTTTTCTTTTGGAACGCTATCCTGACGCTGTTAGTCACTTCTTTGAGTGGGGCTCTGATTCCTGAACCAGAAGTGAAGATTGAAGTCCTCCAGAAGCCGTTCATCTGCCATCGCAAGACCAAAGGAGGGGACTTGATGTTGGTCCATTATGAAGGCTACTTAGAAAAGGACGGCACCTTATTTCACTCCACGTAAGTAATTATACCCTGCAGGTGAAATAGTGAAGAATGCACCCACCTAGGCCAGCTCTAGGGCGAGAATAGCAGAATGTACCAGGTGTTACCTCTCCTTTAAAAAACTGAAATATCTAATTTCTTTCTTTGGGGAAAGGAAATTATTTAAAGCCAATCTTATACAACAAGGCCTTTGAAGGTCTTAATGGAAACATGTAGTCAGGATAAAGCAGTGTTTTTTTATTTTTGTAAAAATTAGAACTAAAATCTTTGAACTACTGTGAAATATCTAGGTGTATAGTTAGGCAATAAGTAGAAGAGGCTTAACGGAATTCTCACTTCTCAAACTTTGTTCCTGAGGGAAAGTAACTCAGTTCCATTTTTACTTTGGTGAAATTTACTTAAACTTTTCATAGCAACTTCATGAACAGGACATACAAGCATTTCTTTGCTTGTTGTCGGATATGTTAATGCTATTCCTTTGACCTAACTTAACTTTTGTTCTGTCAGATGACATTTTGATCAAGGCACAGGACCATGATTTGTTTCATTATTTGTTTCTTTCTGGAAACTCAAAGACTACATTGATGGGTATGGGTGTGGTCATGGAAGATTAATCCAATACCTACAGTGAAGGATTTTCAGGTGGTTACACTATCATTATTTATGTTTTATAAAGAAAGAAACTGCAACATGGAAATGTTTTCCAAGTGCAACGGTTTCCAGTTAGGCATTGGTTCTCTGATTCCATTCCAAAAGTATTTGTTGAACATTTCTTTATGTTAGGCTCTGTGCTTGATTCTAGCGAGATTTTAAAAATCTGGCTTCTTTCCATCCACATCCATTCATTCATCTATCTATCTATCAAATCCTTACTAAGTGGCCATGGGGATGCAAAGGTAACTAAGAGAGGGTTCATGTGCTCTAGCAGGACACTGTCTACAGCAGGGAGGAAGACAAATAACTCTGGATGCAGAGTACAAAATGTTGAAAGTGCTCACAAAGCATAATGGACTCTGGAATTAATCAGGCTCTAAGAGATGGGGAAAGAGAACGCCTTCCCAGAGATCATAATTGAGGCGGGCCTTGAAAGATGGGTGGAGGTTCCCCAGTGGAGAATGAGGAACGGAGGACATCCTAGAAGCAGCAAAGCTTCATGGCCCATCCTAGACCTCGTTTTCTGACAGACTGCCTCTACTAGGCATTCAGATCTGGTCTGTCATGAGGTTCTGAAGTCAATGACACTCTTCTCTGAACTCAGCTAGCCCTTGCAAAAAGTTCCAAGATGATGGCTTGCCATAGAATTCTTAATAGCCCTATCTTTTTCTATCTTTTTATCAACAAGGTCCGTGCCACTGTGGACATTAAACAGTACTATGATTTGCATTTGAAATTTTCAATTACATTTTTATTTTTAGTTTGATCTCTTTTAGACCCAGCCTGATCTCTTTCATGTCTCAGAACCAAAAGCCTATGTGGACTTCGGTGGTAACCATGGGACATGATTTAGCACTTTGCTACTAGCGTTTTAGTACCTGAAGAGGGGAATCTTGTCATGCAGCCTCCATGTAAATGGCCAGGACCTGCTAACTCTGAGTATTGTAAAGAAGTATAATGAATTTATAAAGCATGTTCATTGTTTTGAGAACCATATCCTATGTGGTAAATAGCCTAACCCTTTAGCCATGACAAGAAATGTGCTCAAACTTTAGGCAGGGTGAGGTGGTAGATTATTTCTTCTTTTCTTTATTTTTTTTCTAGCCTTCCCCTGTTTTCTCCAGTTGCCATTTTGCTACTTTGATCATGGTGGGGGGGTGGAAATTAAGGAAAAGAATTAACAGCCTTTACCTAGATTTAGTAACCATGGTACCTGTGAAGCCTGGTAGAGTGACTGCTAGTTCTCACATATAAGATATCCTTGAATAGGATCCTTAGTACATTAAGAGGGCGCTAATGGGGGCTCAGACACTGCTCAGCCCTGAAGCCCCTCCAGGAACTCGGCAGGCTGGTTTTCCTAGGTTGACCTCTCTTCAGTTCATGAGCCAGGATATCCTGACCATTCCCTTCTTCTCTAGTCCTTGAGGGGCCACTCCTCCAGGCTTCCCTGGGAGAGAACTGGACCAGGATCTGAGTGGGGATTTGGGGTTGAAAAGTAGCCTATTCCACCTATCACAGCCATCAGCAGGCTGTACATCAGGGAAGGTTGTAGGCAGAATATGAGACACCATGTTCTTGACTCTCCCATTGTCCATATGGGTATGGACCCACGAGTGTTGGCAGTAAATTCTCCTTAGCCTCTCACCCGCCCTCCTAAATGCATCCATTTTCCATTATTTTGTCCCTCTTCTGTACCCTAGTGGCCTTCCTGGGACAGCATCACTTTGTGATTAAGACTTTGAATTTGGAGCCAAGTCAAATCCTGGCACATTTAACCTCACTTTCATCATCTTTACAATGGGGGTAATAATGGCACTTACCTCATATGATCGGTGTTAGACTTAAAAGAAGCAAAGCATTTAAGAGAATACCTGGTATACAGTAAATGTTCAGACAGCTGAGTTTATTATTCTCTTTGCTGTCTCTATCTGGGTCAGCTATGTGAAATTTGCATCAAGAAAGATGGGCAGTGAATTGAATTACTATAGAGTTGACCTGTGCATGCATGTGTGCTGTTTTTCATTGATTTCCAAACTAATAAAATTAATCACTCATGGGTGGAAAAATTACACCACAGCAATAAAAAAAAAAGTTACTAAAGAGTTCTAATGTGTTTTCTTTTTATTGTAGTCACAAACATAACAATGGTCAGCCTATTTGGTTTACCCTGGGCATCCTGGAGGCTCTCAAAGGTTGGGACCAGGGCTTGAAGGGAATGTGTGTAGGAGAGAAGAGAAAGCTTATCATTCCTCCTGCCCTGGGATATGGAAAAGAAGGAAAAGGTAACAACAATTTGACATTTTTACTCTGGCACTAGAGTTCTTCTCTGGATTATGGACAGAAGTTAGTGTAACTGCTATGTTTTTTTTTCCTAGAAGTAAATACTTGTATACCTTTAGAAAATGTAACTATGTCTTTGATTATCATTTGAAATGGCCAATTAAAGCCATAATATGTAAAAAGTCAAATGAACTAACAATGAAAAAATATTCTGTAATCTTATCTCTATTATTAGTATTGCTCACCAATATTGTGGGATTTTTTTTATGGTGGTATTGTATACAAAACATAACATTTACCATTTTAACCATTTTTAAGTGTACAGTTCAATGGCATTAAGTATATTTAAATTGTTGTGCAAGCATCGCCACCATACATCTCCAGGACTTTTTTATCCTCACATACAAAGTGAATCACAAGGAAATAAATAAGAATATTAACAATGGATAGTGGGGCAGGAAGTTGTTTCTGGTTCTCTCTTCCACATTCTCTACAATGGGCACATACTACATAATGAAGAGGAAAAAATTTTAAGAAATCATCAGAACTGGACAGAGAACCACTGATGTAGTAGAAATAGAGACTTCACAGCATCCTTAGGTCTAAGTGTACATTTACAAGGTGGGAATTGGGATTCCTACCCTCAGTTACCAGAGGAGAAAATAAGTGCCACAGGTTAAGCATTGCATGTGCTAAAGTGCATCTTGCTATGTAAATATTATGCACTGAATAGGAGTTACTAACCAAATTCCATTCTCATTTTAATAATGATCCTTCTAGAGGAGAAAATCAAGTTATCTAGAAAATGTTCCTCTGATGTTTAAACATACTCTTTCACTTTCTTGTATCTTTATTGTCTCGCTTTTAATATTTATGGCTATAGTATGAGTCCATTTCTCTTTCTCCATGCTATATTCAACTTGATTGTACTTTATAACAAGTAGAGATCTGAATTTGACTCATTCCCTTCAAACAGAATGCCATGAGACTAATTCTGCTAATACGCATTTAAACACTAATTTTGTAGTTTTTTTAGTACCATGTTTGCATGCCTCCTTTTGGAAAGACACCGGTTTTATCGATGACCTCTAATGCATGCCCTTCTCTGTCTAGATCTGGAATGGTAAGCTTCGGCACACAGTGTAAGTTTTGTTCTTCTGGTGCTTACAAGTGTTCTTTCATGGAGATACGTGGGATGAAGGGGTGGGGAAGAAATATTTGTGTTTACCCATACCCGGAGGCTAAATACAGTTGTAAGGAAACAAATTGAAAAAAAAAAATTGTCCATATTTCCCAGAAGTTTTTGGTTTTGGTTTATTTTTGTTTTAGGTCCCTGGAGTTTTAACAAAGCTTTTTTCACTTTTAAAGATTTTTATCTCCCTTGTCAGAAATTTGTTCTTAATTTCTCCCTTCCACCATGGAATTTCCTCAATGTGTGTTGAATTTGCATTTTAGAAATAAGAAACCTGAGCCTTAAAGGGGCTGATGTAAGCCTCAATCTGACAGTGTGACACCAGAGCTCACTCAATTATATACTGCCTCCCAGTGGTGGAAATGGTGGTCTTGTATGTATTTCCCCGCCAGGTTTTTCTGACTCAAAAGTTAGTCAATCACTTGTACTATAATTAACTCTGAATTTTCTAGAGCCCATTAAGTCATTCCTGACATATAATATGCAATATCTTAATTATACTTGAAATTTAATACGCAGACCATTAGGCATATCTGTGTGGATATGTATGTGTGTGTGTAAAACAATTTTAAATTGCAAAGTCAAAAACAGACTGCTTTTGATCTACTAGTTTGGATTATTCCTTCTTTATTTTATTTATTTGAGTGAACTATAAGTCATTCCTACCATACGGGACAATCTTAGACAGGCTCTTCTTTTAATTGAGTTAAAATAATATTTTGTCCAGTATCACAAGTTTCCTATCATCAAAACTTTGGGATCTTTTTAATAAAACTTAACCCCCTCTCTCCTCATGTCAGGCAAAATTCCCCCAGAGAGTACGCTGATATTCAACATTGATCTCTTGGAGATTCGAAATGGACCGAGATCCCATGAATCATTCCAAGAAATGGATCTTAATGATGACTGGAAACTCTCTAAAGATGAGGTGACCCTTCCTTTTTCTTTCTTCTGTTCTCTTTTTCCCTCTTTCCCTCTCTTTCCCTTTCTCCTTCCTTCCTTTTTTCCTCCCTTCTCTTTCTCTCATCCTTCCTCCCTCTTCCTTCCTTTTGTTTAGCTCACTTTTTAAGGAATATATTTTAAAATAAAATGTACTTTTATTTATGTAAAATATTATTTGTAAGTTTTTGTAAATACTGATGCTCTGAAAATTGACTTTTTTCATAGGAAATCATTGTTTTGGATAGAAATATATTGAGATTTAAAAAACACCATTCATTCTTTTGGTTTTTTTCTCATTAATGCTTAAGTTTCACTGTTTCTTGGCCTCACCTTGAGTTTATAAAGATCTGTTTTGCTAAAACAATTCCCATTTTGGAGTTACTGCATAAGAAACATAGAGATCCTGAAAAATAGAACATGTGGACAGTTTCTGTTTAAAACTTTAGACTGGCTGTTACATGAGTTTCCTAGTGATTTCCTAGCAATTAGCAGCAGCAAGCAAATCAAGTGCCCGGTTCTGTTCAGGTTAACACCTAGAGAAAGGAGATTCCAGTCTGGATTTTCCACAAATGGAGACCTTTTCTAGCCCCCTCAGAGTTCTTCTCCCTGTAATTTATTTAGGCTTTTGCAGCCATTGCTACACATAGCTGTCTCAGTCTGGCTGCTGTGGGGAAAGAAGTGGAGGTAGATAACTATCCCTCGGTTTTTTTGTCTACCTGTACTCTCCATTTTGGCTTGGCTGGTTCAGAAATCAAGTTATTTCTTATGTTTTGATCAATTTCACTCTAATGATTAAGGCCAGGAAATGAGTGAATAACCTATGTTGTTATAAACCACAGGGTCATGAGTCACAGCTACAAATTTATAACACCTCATCGTGTTATGTCATAGACGTTTTTCTATCCAAGATAAATTTGAATTCACTTTCATTTAAAAAAATATCTTGACATACAACACATTCACATGATTCAAAAAAATCAATTCAATATAAAAAGATATTTATTATGAAGTCATTCTCCCACCCACATCCTCTTCTACCACATGACCCTCCCTGCTTTGTATCCAGTTTCATTTGTTTCAGTGTTTATGCAAATACAAGCAAATATGAAATATATACTCTTATTTCTCTTTTTCTTACATAAAAAAGTAGCATACTGTGTACATACTGTTTAACATCTTATTTTTTTCACACAGTATACACTTGGGATATATTCTACATTTAATCCATAGTTTCATTACCAACCCTTCCCTCTTTTTTTGTTAAACAACAGCATTAAATCCCCTTAATCTTAAAAATAAATATACACCATATGTTTGCATGTTTGTGGTAGGGGGCAGATAGAGGATTTGAAATTGCTGATCTAACAGAAGGAATATTAGGGATGTGATTAAAAATGAAAATACAGGTTGAATTGTTATTATGGTGACTCTAGTGGGTAACTGGGAGCAGTCTTTTGCTTATATCTTTAAATATCTGTGTTAAAAATGGAAGTTTTTAGTCTTAAGTACTCAGCAGGCTGGATTTTGCTTTAATTTCTAAGATTGGAGGGTCATGTGGTCATGTTAGAAAACAAGATCCGGATAATTCAGTGGATAGAAAAATAGCGGTCTTTTAAATGCTTGGCTTTATTTAGACTCAGATTTAGAGCACATAATATGCTTAGTGTGCATTTTTCACATGATATAAGCCTTATCTTTGTCTCAGAAATATCCTATGTCTCTACTGTAGCAGTATAGCTATAGCTTTTGAGGGGAAAAATTCCCTACAATTCTTTTACTATCATTAGAAATATATCATAAGGTAGTTGTTTAGTAGTTGTTATATATAATTACATGCCCTACTCATCCAGTCTGTGATGTTGATTGGCTCGATGTGAGCATCTTATGAATTAGAATTACTAATGTGATCCATTATTTTGTAGGTTAAAGTGTATTTAAAGAAGGAGTTTGAAAAGCATGGTGCGGTGGTAAATGAAAGTCATCATGATGTTTTGGTGGAGGATATTTTTGATAAAGAAGATGAAGACAAGGATGGATTTATATCTGCCAGAGAATTTACATATAAACATGATGAGTTATAGAGACATGTCTGCCCATTTTATATAGCATCCATCCTTAAAGGAGAGGACAACCATTTTTAAAGAAGGTCTTATTTGTTAACAATGTTCTGTTCAGGCTTTGTTTTTTATTTTTATATATTTTTCCAAATATTATTTGAAGAACTCCTTAGGGTTTCTCAGTACCCATTTCTTTCTGGTGAGTTATTGGGAAGAAAAAAAATGACTTGTCTTTGAATATAAGACTTCTGGACCATTTTCCACTTTCACATATGAAGCCTTATGTTTTACTTGCTTACTTGTAATTTTAAAATACTGCAACTGGGAGCATGCCCAACGTAAGACTAGATTATAGCACAAATCAGCCCCCTCTACTTCTTCTTCCCTCTGGTTTCTCTGAGTTAGATACTGATATTTGAAAAGCCTTTTGCAATAGCCCAAGGCTTACTATTTTCATGTTATAATGAAACAGCGTTGTCTGTAACTGCCTTTGAGTCTCTGCTTGAGGAAGAGAGGAAAATGGTTGTTGAACTCGTTAAGAATTACTGCCTTACTGAGATGGACAATGCTGAAGTGAGTAACAAAGGTAATAATTTATAAATATGTATACATTGCAGTATTCTGCCTAGGATTTAATCTACATAAGGTTGGGTTCCTAGGTACTAATGACCTATCATGATTATTAGGACAGATTATTTATGTGTGTATGTCTTCATGATAATATGTGTCAAAATATTGTAGAGGAGTTAGAGAGTTGTGTGGAGTCGGTGTTTACTTTTTAAGGCTGGCAGATTACCCTTCCTGGTTCTTTAATTAATAAAGTTTATAACTAGTATATTATTACTACAATAACATTGTTTTATAAGAGAAATTTAGTAAGCCAGTCAAAATTTTCCCATTTCTGCCTCATAAAAAAAATGAGGCAGACCCACAGCAGCTACTGTTGAATAGAGGTCTATCCTGGGTCAAAGAGTTGATGATTTTGTAATTTTATTTTAAATTGGAATTTTTCCTTATTACTTTTACAATGTGCCCAAATCTCTGTTTGCTAAGAATAGTCCTTTATAAGCTTACAAAGTGATCTCAAGTGCCTCATTGTTGGATTCTCAATGCTCTGAAGCCTATGAAAAAGGAGAGTAGATCTTAATGTACCTATTTAAAAGTTGAGGAAATTGTCATTCAAAGAGATTGATGGTTGTGGGTTGTGCCCAAGGTCAACAGTGAACCTGTAGAACCATATTTCAGTCCCCAAGTTCAGTATCTTTCTACTGCCTTTTACCATTGAAAAAGTGAAATTTTTCTTTGAATTCATTGGACCTAATTCTCTCTTCAATTTGCTCTCCTAGCAGTCAACTCTTTTGTCTCTGGGTCCTTATCCTTTGAGATGGTTTACTGGCTGTTTCTGGTGTTTCTGAATTCTCCCCATGATCCAGAAATGGCTCTGGTTTCATTGAGTAATCTTGGGCTGAGCGCTGAATTGCCTCAAAAACCCTGTGGTAAGAGAGCCCAGGGGTGTGTCTTAGTCCTTTCATACCTGTTTACCTCTAGGTGTTTTGTTTTTTTTTAAGACTTATGAAAAATTATTACATCCTATACAGACTACTTTCACCAATTATATATTGACATTTTTGTCATTAAAACAAACTTCTTGAGAAGAACATAAATGACACCTTTTTCTGATGACATCAGCTATATCTAGAAAACTTTTTAAGTTGTCACTGCTGTTTTCCTCAACCTGGAAGAGTTACAAACCACAATACAGAAAGTTGTACTCTGTGCTAGGAGGGGAAAGCTTGTCATATGGTGATACTTCATATAAACATTACTCTTGCTATCTATGGTAGAGCAGAAAAAGTGAAAAGAAATTTGGTTATTCGGGTAGCATATTTCTTTATCTTGTGTGAATTGGCATCAGTTCCCATCTAAATATTTAGACACAGTATGAAAATGACAACATATAAATAGGTTATAGTTGTTTTTAAGTTATCTGCCTTTTGAGTTTAGCTGTATCTTTGCACCTTTTCATTCAGAGGAATAATCAGACATAAACTGTGACTTCACTTGTATATAATTTTCTAAAATGTGTCATATTTAAATTGATACAACTGTGTTGTGGTATTCTTTTCAAAATAAAGTTTATTTGGGAAATAATTGGTTTTGTGGAAAATTCTTCAAGCCCCAGTTTCCTCAGCAGCTTTATTGATTTTCTTAACTGTTAGTCTAGGTTTTACATCGAAACTAAGTGAGGAAGATAGACAGGTAGTGAGGGGAGAGGGGTATGGTGACATTTTGAATGTGTCTCTGGTTATCTACTCTGTACATATTTGTAAGGAAAGCTGTGGTTTGTTAAAATTGTTTTGAAATAAGCATCAAACCTTGAGCATCAAGGACAATAGTTAATGGTGAATTTTTGGTGCTGGATAAGGTGTATGTGATGTTTTGTTTTGTTTTGATGGTAGTTATTATTGTTTTGGTTTGGAATTTTATTGTGTGTCACAGGTGGACATTATGATGATTAATGCCTACTAAGTAAATTAGTGCTATAAAGTACCTTATGTAATTAAATGAAATGCTGGGTTGCCGTAAATATCACAAGAAACAATGATTTCTGATTCAGATGGGTGATCAGCCATTTGAATCTTTCCTTGTGAAAATGAATCTGTACTTCTCATCTTATTCATGACATAGGATATTGCTTACATCCATAATATAAACATCAGCATGTGATATCTCCACTGAATTGAAGATATGGATCTCAGTGTTTGGAAATTGCAAGAGAATAAAAAAGGAACTGGGTGGAATGTTATGGGAAGAATATACCTCTCATCTTGTATTTAAAAAGCAAATCATCAGTATAATAATAACTCTGGGAAAAAATAACAAGGGACGTATTTTCCAGAGATGCAGAGCACTTGGACATAAGAGGTTTTGTTTTATTTTGGTTTTGTTTCTTACCCACTTTAGTTTGAATTGAAATATAAAATGTCAAACATGAATATAAAATCATATGCCCATGAAAACATTAAAATTATAATAGTACTTCTATCTTTTAATATCTGTAGCATTCTTATCAGTAAGGTTTGCATATTCCCTTTACTACAATGAAAATCATACATTCTTACATATGGGTTCAGAGTCTTTATTTGAAGGTAAATCTTTTTCTCTTCTCAAAATATTATTATGCCTTTCCTTTCAGCTTTGCCTCTGCTACCTCCAGCTCCCTGGTCCAGACTAATATCAGAAAGAGGCCTTGGCAAACATTGGTTTCATAGCTCAGTCTTCAAACACAGTGAGAGGCATAGTTTGGTTCCTAAAGGCTGCAGAAATGTAGCAGTGATTCAAATTTAGTGTACACCAGAATCACATGGGCTAGGTGTTAAAAGTGCAGTCTCCTAACCCTCTCCCCAGAGATTCTGATGAATTCTTGGATTGGGCCCATGAATCTGCATTTTATCCCACTTGCTAGCTGATACCTATATAGGTGGTCTAAGAACCTTAATTTGAAAGACAATTAACTTCACTAATTCTCTGCCCTTGAATATACAGTCTCCTGTATTTTTCTCTTCTACAAATATTCTTTTTTGCATTCTGGAAAACATTGGGAATTGGGGCAACTCATTGTGCCTAAAAATGAATACACAGTTAAGGGATAAGTTGTGTGGAGATACTATTTCCCCCAGGGTTACACATTTTTTTCTGACTATGAATTTTTACAGCAGTAAGTTAGATGATCAGTAAATATGTTTTGGTGAACATCTTGTCTACCAGAAAAAAAACCTTCAGACTTTCCCCAAATTACCCTTCTATGTTATTTTTTCAGAATTATCTACAACCCACCCTTTTGGAAGAATATACAGTTGAGATTTAGAAAAAATAAAACTATTCTCTGAAAAATATATAGATGTGTATATGTGTAGTGTATACACAGACATACAGTGTAAACTGTATATTGTGTGTGTGCATATGTATATGTATGTGTGTGTAGAGTTCTGTATCAAACACGGTCATTGAAATGCTCTCTGGAAACCACTGTGCAGTCAAATTTCTCTTTTGTCAATTTGGAGTCTGTCATTCTCTACTTTTTCTATGGTTCACTTATAATTTAGGTAAAATTTCCCAGTAGTTCTCCATGTAAAACCAACAATAATCTTTTTTTACCCTTTCAGCCTGAGGGTTTCCAAGGGATTAAGTGGCTCCTTTTGATATACATAGATTATTTTTAAGAAAAGGATAAAAACAGTCGGAAGATTCCAGGAGATGAAGATTCCAGGAGATCTGCAACACGTAGCACACTCTGTGGATTCTTTTGTTTACCAGTTCTTTGTGTCTCTGGACTGCTGATAAAGCCTCTGGCATAAAATGGATGACTTTAGTGAGTATGAGTCAGCCAATAATTTACAAAGCCAGTCTAAGTGCCTGTGAGCTAGAAAACCATCAATTTTATTTTATGATCTAAAAACAAATGACACGAGATGCTTGCTGAGGTCTTACTCTAAAAATTCAGAGTAAAGTGAATGCTGTCCCTTGTCGCTAACAGCAGGTAAATTATATTCCACAAGGGGATTTCTGGGAATTTACAAGTCATTTCATTAATTTAAAATTCCACACTGCAGTAGGGTAAAGATCATTTTCTCTTCAATAAACAGTTGCAGCAAGAACAATTCCAGGCACAATGTAAATTTAGGTATTGAGGGATAGTTTTCATTATTATAAAGAATGAAGTAAGGGTAGGGAGACCCAATGGGGCTTAGTTCTCATTTCTTGTAGCATTTTCTCATTCACTTGTTGGACTCACTCTGCCAGAGTGCATTCTATGTTACAGTAACTCTGACTGTAATTTTCACCTCTGGGTGGGGGACTAGGACAGTATAACATTCAACCACATACTGCTGGTTCTTTGCCCTTATGATCGTACCTCCTGGAACCGTTGTGTAGCTATCTTGTACAGTATGCATTCTGTTCCAGATTTTTTAAAGTTGATTCTTAAGTTAACAGCTAAATTTATTAAATAAGAAATTATACTTGTGTAGAATAACCAAGAGGAGTAGTAAAAATTCAGATTTGCCCTAAAATAAGAGACAGCATTTTACTTGCAGGAAAACAGAGAAGAATTTAAAAAGGATCTTGCGATGAAGTCCTCATCTGAGTGGCCAAATTTCCTCCCAGTATAATTGTTCTTTTCTGCTATCTTTCTACCACTGGTTCCTTGAGACTAATTACCTAAGTTTTTCCTTTCACTATTTTGCCTACATTTTATAGTATAAAATCTTTTAATAAATGTCATGCCACATACAGTATTAGTCAAGGTTTCTTTTTGAATCATAGTCTTTAAAGACAATTAAGCAGCCAACTAAAGTTAATTAATTCTTACTCACATTAAGACTGAACAGTAAATCAATGGTGCTCCTAGGCTTTTTTTTCCCGAACATTTTACTACTATGGCAATAATTCTTTAAAACTATTAACTCTTTATCATTCACATATTTTCCCTGAACTGGGCAATATCTTACAGTTTTCTAATATTTCTTTCTTTTTTTCAGCTGGGATATTTTATTTCATTTTTTTAACAAAATTAATTTGTAGTGCAATGACTTTTTTATGTTTCAATAGATTTTTAGTATATTCACAGTTATGCACCCATTACCACAATTTTAGAACATTTTCACCACCTCAAAAAGAAACCCCCATACCCATTAGCAGTCACTGCCCACTTCCCCCTACCCTCCCTAAGCTATCAGTCTACTTTCTCTAAGTATTTGCCTGTTCTGGAAATTTTCTAATAATTTTTAAAGCTCAATCCTTTTTAACATTCAGTGTAAAGAAAAATCAGTGATCTGAGAAATTCATATGACAGAGAAATAATCTCTGCTTTTAATTTTTGTTTCAAAATATGTAAGTGCTTCTTGAAATTCAAAGAGAACCAAATAAAGATTCCAGCTCTAAGGACTAGATCGTTCTATATATGCAAAAAGTCAAATACTTGGCACGAGTAAGAGCTAGAACCAATGGTGTGAGGGATGTAATAAGAATAGTAAAAACCTAGGGCTTGGTTTAGGATTAAAGTAGAAAGTCTATGGAAAGGAGACTAAAGAATCATCAGGAATTTAAAAATTAAAATATCTCTATATACTTAGGTTATTTCCAGTTCTCTGAAAGTCAGTTAATTAGTCTAACAAGAAACAAAATTTAATCCCATTTTTTTTGTATTTTATAGAAAATAGAAGAGCATCCCAAACAATAATCTCCACAGTCAGAAATTTCATACATTCTCTCAATAGGTGAAATCATTGTTTAATCACTGGCAGCACAAAGGAAGTCATCCTTTAATTGAACCCAAAATTCCTACAGCAATTTAGACAGACCTTGTTTTGTTCTGTGCAGAACTGGAGAATAACTAACAGTAACTTCTGCTGAAGTCATGTATTATCTCAAGTGAGCAGTGGTGTAAAATTCCAATATAAGAGGCTCAACACTTACAATTTGAAATAAGCTTTCATCTCTTAAAAGGTGGCCTCAGGTGTCACTATAATATTAAAAACAAGCCCTATTTTAAAAACGTACATAGCAGGAGGTTAACCTTTTCCACACATGTAAACTAGAAAAACATCTCAGCAACAAAGGATTAGGTTGAAGCTCTTAAGTGCGATCATAGAATCCTCTAGCCTGCTCTTTGATGATTGCAAGTCTCAGCAATTTCCTTTTAAATTATCTGTACAGCTGGCTGAATCCATGGATTTCTAGAGGTGCCATGATGAATGTAAAGCATACATAATTTGTTTCTAAAACCAGGTCCAGAACATTCATGAACTGTTATCTTATTTAAAATTAAATAGGAGCCACTCATTGAAATGACACATTTGAATAATTGAACTTATAAATCCATCCCTAATTATAATGAATAGGATTTTATATCTTTTTGCTAAAATACAACTTATGGTTGTCTAAATTACATATCCAAAGAGCTTGACAGATCATTTAAATCCTAAAAAGTGATTTTAAAATAGATTTGAATACTTATACATCTCTCAGTGTTGCCTATACTCAATACAGACAGTAATTCTGTAAATTGATTTCAGGGCACTCTAAAGGTTTGTTACTATGGTAACCGAATTCAGAAAACTAACCTCCTAAATATGGTTGTCATAGGATTA